TCACGCATAGGTGGTATCAAAATCTTTAGTTTAACTCAAGTAACCTCACATTCGCCGGTAAGGTAACTGTACCTGGTAGGTTGAATCACCTATCCGTAGAAACTTCCAAGCTATTACTTTTGTTTGTTAGGAGTTTGGGACATTTTGTTTATGGTTGCCAAATTATCATTTAACACAAAAGTCTTAATCAGGATTCCTCGCGTTTTACGTATAAATCGATTTAAACAATTGGTTTTTGATGCGTCACTGGGTATCACCGGAGCTTCCTCAAGCGGCTGTGAGCACAAAATCGGAAAATTTGATCTGGTTAACAACGCGTTCATGAAACGAAACGAGCTGATCCTTATCGGAAAGTACAGTTACTTGAACTCCATGGAAATGTGAACAGCATGTTCTGGGATGACCCGGGTCACTCCTGTGTGAAAAGAATGAAAATAGGATCTTATGCCGCGACAATTTTCATCAATTTCCAATCACACGTCAACCACTCCTCTCCGCAGGATCTGGCCTTTATTTTTTCATATTTTTTGCATACGATTAGAAAGACACGGGACTCAAACACTTCGGATCATCTGGACTAAAACTTTCAACAGAGGTTGACAAATGACAGTCGTGTGAGCACTTTGGTAGCCATCTGTGCTGTGCACACGAATCAACACAATCAAAACAGATCTTATCATACAAGTGGATAAAAGAATTGTACGATCATTTTCATAAGTTGATCATGAGGTCGTTCAGAATGTCAACTGTTGACCAGTCTGAGTATTACACATACATAAGTACAGATCTAAACTAAGAAATACTCCTCCTCCCCGGGTCCACGCCATCTCTGTCAGACAGTTGTCGGGTCCTGACCACAGTTCGACGGGGAATAGACAGAGAACTCAACGAGACTGCTTAGTAATGCGAGCAGATTGGAAACTGTGCAGGTTCTTTCTTGTTCTTAGACGATCTGCTTTGGGGCATATGGTAAGTGTGGAAGTGTGCTCATAAGCGTGAGCTCGAGCACACGCGTATGTGAGTGTGCGTGCGTGCGTGCGTGCGTGCTCGNCTCGTATCAAAGGGTGTAAACTGTGGAATAGAACCACACCACTCCGCGCTACGCCAAACGAAGTTCAATTGAATGAATCCCCACGCCACCGATGTCAAGTTTCGAGCGATAAATCATCATCGTCGTCGTAAAACCGCGAACGGTCCTCGGGAGTTTGCACACTTACCTTCTTGTGAGGTTGGTCCCACTTCAACCCACCCCTGCTTAGACAGACCACGGAGTGCGCGAGTGTGTGTGAAACGATGAAAATCGAAAGCGAATCTACAAATCCGATGTGCGATATGCACTGGGGTCAGCGATGTGAGTGTCAGTGGCCACCGAACCGTCAACGACCGCGTGGATTGTCAGATCGACTCATCACACACACACATACACGCCATCGGTTCCATTCGAAATCGTTTCTCTACGAAAACTTCGGACTAATCGAACATGTTTTTACTCACCGTATAGCTTAACTATTGATCTAACAACGCTCGTCGTTTATAGGTTGTCAGAGACGTTCCCAGAACCCGTTTTAGGTAGTGTATACGTCAAAATAGAAGGTGGTGGAATAACATAAATCTGTTTTGAGTGTAGCTAGACTGTTGCTCAAACACGTTCCTAGCGTGTTGTCTCACTTTCCTTTCCAAGTTAACTCTATGCCACATGCAACAACAGCGTCATTTCACTCGATGATGAAGCGCAGTCAAATGAGTTGCGTAGTTGGACCTGCAGACGAAAATGAGAATGTTCAACTCCAATTAACTGCTTTGCAGTTCAGTGAACCGTTTAACGTTCACTTGATGAGTGATATATATGTTTACTCTCCCTCCCCTCCCCCCACACACGCTCCAGATTCAGAAAGCTAAAGAAGAACTGAATGCACTAAGATATCTGACTTGTGCTTTACACATGCTTCAACGAAGTCTCTTGCACAGGTGAAACAACAGAGCCGACCTAAATTTTTACATTTGACCAGACTGGTTTGTGTCAAATGGAGTTTGATCGATTGGGAAGAATATTAAATGGATGGAAAAAGGAGGCAGTGCAATTTAGTTCGATAAACGTTTTCAGAAGCTACTCAATATTTTTTGGGGGTGGGTGGGTGCTAATGAAGAAGATAATAATAATAATAATAATAATAGGAATTTTTGTATAAAGATTTATAGTAGTAACGCTAGTCGTACTGGCATCGACAGCGACAACATACTTTAGTAGTTGAGGCCATAGGAACCAAAGGAAGCAATGACTTTGCAAATTAAACCTAAAATGACTTTTGGCTTCAGAAAGCATCAGTAATCGACCATAGATAAATGTAAAAATATACCAACGGCAGCAACTATTTGCGTATTCGCGCGCCAACGATGGATTACAATATGACGGATTTCCTGGACAAAACTCATTTGAAATAGGCTGGGTTTAGCCTAGCACGAACCCAAGTAAGCTGCATCAGTTTGTGGTATATATATATATATATATATTGAGTCTATCTTTTGAGGATATTTGTTAGAAATGAGGGACTGATCCAACTGACTGATCCAACTTAATTAAACGAGACGGCAGGTACGCAGTATGCCATCTAAGTTCATTCTTCCAGCAAACGATTCATTCAACAAGCTGTTCATGACATGGAAAGTGCTAAACAGGTACAAAACTTTAGCGTGGATTCACATCAAGTACATAGCAAGCTGTTCGTAAATATTCTCCGACGTTGTGGAAAGAGTTCAAATCAGGTAGCATCAACTTGTGTAACTGATGCAGTTCACTCTCATCGGGTTTGCGGATGACTGGCTTTTCTATCCTTTTCGAGAGAATTGACTAATCCAGTGTTTTATTCATCCGTATTTGCATCATTCTTCCTTTGTCAGTCAATCCGACAGAAGTTTTGGTAGGCCGTTCTTTAAGTTCAGTGTTCGTTTTGCCCAGGATAATCAGATCAATCGGTTACCAAAATAACGTTTTTTCCGCTTCTAACTTTTTAAATTCACTCAGGGTTTATTCCGTGATTGCTCTAGGACATGCCTAAAAAATGCCATCGTACAAAATTACAGGGTCTTTCTGTGAGAACGAAATAAAAGCTAGCTCAGCTTGAACATATCTTGAGGCTTACAAGAATGTTCTACAGACACGTGCACGAACATCAATATACCTAGACTAACAGAAAGGGAAACGGGGACTGCGAACTCGACTGATAATAATTCAACAGATACTAACAATACAAAGCTAAACCTAGTTCTCGTCCCCAAAGTGCACATATCTTGGTGTTCCAGACTAAATCGGACAATTCACGGCCGAGGTCAACGAAAGCCTAATCTTTGTTCTTTCCCATTCATAACTTGATAGTCGGAGGAACTTGACTACCATTAAAGGCACTGTTCCCCAGTTCGAGGTGATTCAGGAATTGTGATCTGGAACTATAGAATCCTCATAGGCGCATTGCGGAAGCCATAGATCACCGAAGACGAAAACACTAGCATTCGGGAACTGGATAGAAACCCCAAACCCAATCCGTTATAAAAACCAAGTGCTACCAGAAATTAGCATGAACCGATGATTACGGGAATTCAACGCCCCAATTCAAGTCTAATTGGCGATGTCTCTTTGCCCGGTAACGAAACGATAACAAATCGTTGCTAGCATTTCCAAATCAACGAATTTTTCATAAATTTCACAACGCACTGGCCCTCTTTACGAACACGGTCATTACGCTCTGGTAGCAACTTCGCTTTTTTGTATTTTGAGAGGAAGAACAGTAGGAAAATATTACATCGATTATATCCTATGCGGACTTCTAGCTATATGATAATGCAAAAGAAATCCCTGCAAGATAGACTCGCGGTAAACCCTGGGAGTTTCTGAATTGAGAACTATCCTCTATCTGGATGACACAAATGAACGACGTAATTGCGGGGCCATCAATATCACATCACCTCGCTTGCCTTCGCCACGCATAACCGTCCACCAAAGAGCGTTTGGAATATGAAAGCAACAAAAAGACATCATATCACATAATGAAAGCGTTTCATTGAACGTATACGCTGATACATGTGTAGTAGTATGGTCGTGTTATCTGTCTGTTCGGTTATGCGCACAGAAGTAGGCAAAATTGGATGAAAGTGCAGGTAATTGGTGGCGGTAGTGGTGGTTGGCTCGCGTAAGTATCAAATGGGTTTGTTGACTGATGTATGCATTGGCCAATAATTCAGCCTCAAGGGGCTAGAGAAGGGAGGGGGCAGAACCAAGTGGTGATGGTGTGGATTGTGTTCATTCAACCTTTTTTATGTGTATAAATATATGTACATTCGAAATATTGTACCAAATGTAATGTGGTCAAACACACGCACACGCCTGCATACATATGTGCATGCCCGATAAGTTATCGAGATCTCTGACAAAACACAATGGAATGACAAAATAAAGTCGTATCACCATCAAGTAAGTGAATGAGTGATTGAGGCTGAGGAAAATGAACGTTGTTTGTTCGTGTGTGTGTGTGTGTGTGTGTGTGTGTG